AACCCTAAAACCCTAAAACCCTAAGGATCCTAGAACTTTGGGGGGTCTGAGACTCGGCGAGGCGGCACGAGAATGAAGTGCAGATTATAAAAAAGGCGCATGTGGAAAGAACAGCGCTGTCAATAAGAGCACAGTACGGTTTCGGGTTTAGGGTTTAGGGTTTAGGGTTTAGGGTTTAGGGTTTAGGGTTTATAAGGTTTAGGGTTTAGAGTTTAGGGTTTAGCGAAGCCGTGGCGGCAGCAGTATTTGTACTACCATAGAATGCCCGCAGCAACCTAAACCCCGAAGTATCCCTCAACCCATTACCGCCGATGCCCGAACCCCCCCAACCAAAGTCAAACACAATGCAGCGTCAATCAGTCACAACAATCCAATTGGAGGCCGCCTTCATGCAGTGCAAAACAGAGCAGAACAGAGCAGGGGTTTAGGATCTAGGGCTTAGGCGTTTTCCTACTTAAGGGTTAGGTGCGTGGGGTTCGGAACGTATGTCTAGCTGCCCTGACCCACATCGACCCACTTGGAGCCTCCTGAGACCTTCATCCCCTGCCCATTTGCAGAAGGAAAGTCGAAGCCCACAGCAAGTGGATGACGATGGAAGTTCGTAGATATCTAGTGATGTGCCTACAGCCCTTACAACCCACAGGGTGACACAGGGCCGCTTAATCTGTAATGCTTCAGATCCTAAAGAAAACAGAAAACTTCCCGGTTCCACGATTTCCTTAGCTCGCATGCTATGCCTTCGCGGCTGCGTTTGCGAAGCGCTCATGCGCACCCTTTGGAAATGCACGTGTAGTCAGGTTCAGGTGTTAAAAAGGTTGCATCATCCTGGTCATCACAATGGAAACAAGATAACGGAGATGGAGGAAAACTCCGAGACACAAGTTTGCGAGCATGGTAAAGTGCAGTGTCGAATGTCCGAAGGAAGCCATGCAAGGCTGGGCCGTGAACGTCCAGTCCCTTGGCCTGGCAAGGATTTACGGTTTCAGTTTCGGGCTCCCTAAACTCTAAACCCTAAACCCTAAACCACGGCTTCAGTTTCGGACTGAACTGCGGCATGTCGTCAGCGGCAGCATCGTTATACCCGTCGCCATCCTCAGGAGCTTCGTCACCTCCTTCCCCGTCAGCCGAATCAGCAGCGCCATCATCCCTGTCATCAGCGCCATCACAAACATCATTACTTCGCAAGTTGCATGTGAACCGATCTCATGGTTTTAGCCAGGCATTTCGACTGCGAAGCCGCCCATACATATGTGCAGTTCTCGTTCTCCGGCCAGACTGCTGAGGTTCAGCGTGGCCATGAACATTATCCGGCTCTTGCTTTTGAATCATATGCGGCTTGGTGGGAGTTCATTATAGACTTACGTCACATTGCCTCTGCCAGTGGCAACGCACACAACCCCAAACAACTTCTGATAGACAGCCCCATGTCATGCATTAAGTTAATGTTTACCCTCAGGCCCCATAGTAGTTCCTTTTTCAGATTCTGTAAAGAGAATCCTAAATATAAGCCGCAAAAAGGAACTACTATGGGGCCTATGGGTGATGCTGTGCCTTGGTGAAGAGCGCACCATGGCCCTGGCCTTCTCAGGATTGCCTGTGCTTGGTGGGGTTTTTCCCACATTGGCGGCAAGGCAGACGGGTGGTCCACCAAGCACCTGGGATGCTACGGCACAAGCCATGCGAGCTAGGAGTGTCGGAATCGCCGATCAGGATGCCAGCCAGTTGCAGAATCGAGACTGTAGAGGGATTGCTGCTGTCCGCTGTAGTGGAAGAAGGCTGACTCAGAGGGCAAGCGGGCTTGCATCGGTCGAGCACGATTCCAAGAACCACGTCGCGCAATATCGCCATGAACCCCGCAATTCCCAGCGCAGTCGTTGTTGCAAATTGGCATGTGCAGTACATCTCACTCCTGGCAACATCTTGCGCATACCTCAGGTACGGGGTGGAGGAAGAAGACAGGCTGTATGGCTGCTCGGGCTTTGTTGCAGTCTTTGCTTCTGCTAGCCGACTCTGTCTTCCATATGGGTAGTTCTCTAAATTTGGGTCCCTTTTGGGTCCCTAATATAGTACGGCACCCAGCTTGAAAATGCGGTTTCGCTGGCGCACTTATAAAAACGGACCCCAAAAGGGACCCTAATTTGGAAAACTACCCATATTCTGAAAGCTAGCACGGAAGCCCATGGATGAAGCAAGCGGACTTCTGGAAGTGGTGTTATACGTGCCTCCATCCAGTGCCAAAAGCCTTTACCTACAGGACCATGTGGGTTGTTCTCAAAATTGGGGTCCCTTTCAGGGTGTGGGGTTGGGTGTTTTTCCTTTCCTTCTTTCAAGGGTGATGTACCCTGAAAACCCAGAACGAATACATCTTGGTTTGGAGCTTTTTTTACGCAGAGACTGATCCAGATCACGGCCAGCGGTCCACGGACCAAGGTGAATGTGTCATCACATGTGTTCGAGCTGTCGACGATGCCACAAGACAGCGCACAAGCCTACTGCATACCAAATGCACGCAAACGACGACTGCCTAACACAGCCCCGAGCCAGTCAGTCCCGTCTTGAAACACTTTTGCCATCAAGGCCGCAGCTCCGGAACGCGGACCAAGGTGAATGTGTCATCACATGGGCTCAAGCTGTCGACGAAGCCACAAGACAACACACAAGCTACCCGTTTCTGTGTGCAGTCTTGTTCGTTCGAGTACCCTACGATTCACTGCTTTTGTTTTGGGCTTCGGGCTATCGGGGTCGTAGGTCTAGAGGTTTGGAACGGTGTCCTGGAGTCTACCACCGTGCTCAGGCTATTTGACAAGTCTACACTGGGTGCCTTGGCAGACACGGCTTGTGAGTCGACGAGGTTTCCCCCGAACCGTCATCATTGTTGTTTTTAGTGTTCTTATAATTTATTATTATTATTATTATTGTTAAGCCCTGCATGAAATTTGTAGCTGGGACAACATTATCCTCATGCTTTTTCGGCAGAAACCTGCGAATGCCAGCAGGAGTTATCCTTCTCCCGGGTCCATCTTTTTAGAGATTTGAGTCTCCTCGAAATTTCGAGCCCGACCCCTTGCAGCAATGAATTGTTCTAGGATTCCATATAGGGGCCTCTGAAACATCGAAGTAGTGTTCTTGTTGGTTCCTTACCCTAAACCCTAAACCCTGAACCCTGCCCCCTTGGACCTTCTTCTTCCAATCATTACTCAACCCTCATAGTGCCCCCTCTCGGGCATGCGACTGGGTGCTTTCAGCACCAGCGTGCTGCCTGATCGGGACAGCCTAATGTAGGGGCCCATATAATCACCAATACTTACTATGTTGGGGGTTCCTAATTAGAATTATAAAATAATGGGGCCGAAAACCCTATTCTAATTAGTAAGGCCCCTAAACCCTAACCCTCAAAGCAGCCCTTATAGAACCCTTTAAGGAACCCTAAAACAGAGCGAAACTCGAGAGGTTGAGGCGAGCTTCGGGCTTACATAGGGAGTAGGGTTTTAGGGTTTAGGGTTTAGGGTATATATGGTGTGTGTTCTGGGGCCTTGAGGTTTTAGGACGCAGAGTTTTGGGGCCTAGGGCAAAGACTTCGGCTGCTGGCGGACAGGCTATCGCACAGCTTGGGGTGGGGGCCACTGAGGTCGAGGCTGGCTTCGGCAGTCTGTTCATCTATCCATGTAAGATCTACCTGCGTGTATTTATGAGGTTTGTGACATAAGTAGGTGTACTTGTTTGCAGCAGAAACGTATGCAGTGATGCGTGTGATCTTTACATATGTACGCACACATACATACCTGCGTGCCTGTCTGCCTGGCTACCGACCTACCGACCTACCTACCTACCTACCTACCTACCTACCTACCGACCGACCGACCGACCGACCTGCCTGCCTACCTACCTACCTACCTACCTACCTACCTACCTACCTACCTACATACATAGATAGATACATACGTACATACACACAGACAGTTCAGGCTTAGCAGGGTGCTCTTTGGTGCTGTAGGTTTCGGGTAGTTGTACGACTCGGAATCCTAAACATGCCAGCGCTTTGCTGCCGACCACTGATGAAGTATGTTGGAGCGATAGACAGAAGTGCAAACAGCTCCTTTGTTCCATGTGACATGCTTGTGATGCTTGAGCTTGTGTCTTGGAGGGTTTCCGATTTTTGCCAATGTCATCCTTGTCGCTCATGATGCTGTAATGGTCGCTCGATTCCGTTACCCCTCCCGTCGTCGCTTACGATCTGTCTGATCATAGTGGAGATAGTGTGTCTTTGTAATTGTGCTAATGATGGTCGTTTGCATTTTTTCTTCGTTGCTGTCGGTATCGTTACACACGCAGGTACCCAAAGTGCCGATTCTTAAGACGACGCTGGGCAAGACGACATACATGTGGCTGTGATGATAACCACGATAGTAATGTCGATGACGCTGCTTGATGAATCCTGCAGCTTCTGATCCCCTTCCCGTTTACAGCACCCGGTACTTACAGTAATTAATGACCATTGCAGGGCGCAAGGCTATTCTCATAACTAGTTCTTGCACTGATATAAACTGAATATATGCATCAAGCGCTCTAGGCCCCAAATACGCTCCGCTCCGCACGGTGAATACCGTTTCTCCGTGTCATCCGGGAAGCTGCAGAATCAGTTAGGCAGGTTCGCAACAAGCGCCGCAAAATCATTGCTTTTTTGCTTCGGTGTCCGAGCCGGCCTTTGTGGGCTTGGCATGGGAACAGCTTGTCAAACAGTTTCCTTAGCTTCAACGGCAACAATACAAGATGCAACAGTAACAGTGGAACAATTATCGGAGGAGAGCCCAGTGAGCTGCAGACGTATGGAATATATTGCAGGTTCCACCATGTTCCACCGTTTTGGCAGCGAGCAGGGTTTTCAATGCGTGAATCGCGGAGCAGAGCCAGACCGCGGACGAGGACGCGAAGCCCTGAACTAGCCATGTAAAGTGATCTCAAAGCCCCAAACTCTAACTCCTAAACCCTATACACCCTAAACTCTAAACCCTAAACCCAAACTTGCATGCCCACCTGGACTCCGAAGTCTTCGCAAAGAATCTGGCCTTACCACCGGCCGTGAGGCGACGAACTTGCCCGAACGCATCTTCAGCCACTTGTCCTTTATGACCAGAGGCATCTTCTAAATTTCCCAGTGAGCCGGAATGCCTCTTGATCTGATGTGTATCTCACCGGATCGAATGTGCCCACTTGGTTCGTAGGCAAGTAGAGCTACATGGCCGGATGTGCGATGGAGCCGTGAAGTCTGACATGAAGTCCAAGTGTCATGAATACCTGACTTGATTTTGTATGTGTATTGCGATCAAGTAGAATCAAGAGTTCGAGGACAGCAGATAGTAATGTGTACATGCAGACAGAAACGAGTGAACAGGGTCACAATGCGCGATAACAGCTGAATTCCATTGCGAATGGCAGCGCCAGCCCGACAAGAGGATTGCAACGAGTAGCGCGGGGCTTTGGAGGCTTTAGACATGCGTAGCGGTGCAGCAGACCAGGTATTTTCGTTGCCCTCATTTCGCTGATCACTTTCTCCACCATGGTGTCGTCAATGACGTCCATGATGACCGCTTATTCCAGAAGCAAGGCAGGCCGCGCAGGGTGAGCCAATGAGCCTAATACGCTAATGTGTACCGACACGACCGTTACATATCGTTACTGAATATGGTAGTCTGACTGAGTCTATGTTGCATGGCATAGCAGTGTCCTCGAAGCCCTCTGCTGCAGTACGGCATTCTTTGCATTGCGGGTCTTTGCCACTACTCGTCTTCGCGTGCAGTTTCTGTTTCAGTCTACAAATTGCTCTTGGAGGTTGCTCGTGGTGGCAAAACTCTGTGGGTGCTATATACGTGGTTTTCGACTGGTCCTTGCTAGATGGGTCGAGCAGCATCTTCTGACGTCCGCAGGAGGAGGAAGCGCGCCATTTCAGTCTGTTGCAACGCTACCTGCTGTCGCTCAGCTGTCAGCAACTTGAAGAGGGCGGACGGAGGATGATGTCGTGTAGAAAACAGTTCTTCGGGACACGATTCGGAGTAAACAACCCTGGACCTACACATCATTGTAGCTCGCTTTTCCCCTGCAAGATCCGAGGCACAACAAGGTTTCCACGAACCTGAGCCAGCGAATTACGAAGTTCTTGCAGCATGCCTACATGGCCCAGCACAAGGCAGGGCTATTCAACTCGCACCATCCCTAAGTCACTCACAGCCTTCTCTGCAGTTGCTGGCGACTGACTGGGTGTCCTGGTGTCCCACGTGTTGTGATGGCTATGTTGCATCGTGCCAGGCGTCCTCACAGGACATGCATGCGACTTGGATGCATTGACGATTTGATGCAGCTGATGCGCCGCAGGGTCGAGTGTCCCGGAACCGCAGGAACCATTAATTTGTAACTCTAAACCCTAAACCCTAACCCTAATTCAAACGTAGGATTTGCTAAGAGGCCCAAGGTAAGTCTTTGAAGACACACGGTACGCCAGATGCAGCCTTTCACCTGAGAGAGGTCATGAATCGTAGGATCCCGGTTGTAGGGTTTAGGGTTTAGGGCTTTAGGGCTTTAGGGTTTTAGGGTTTAGGGTTTATGGTTTAGGGTAAATATTCGGACTTCGAGCTGCCGACAAAGGCCTCGTTATCAGACTGAAAGAATGCTTGGGGCCAGGTGCCCTTGCTGGACATGCTGTCACGTCCGCTGATGAATGAGCATCTCCACTGCATGTGGCATGTTGTAACTGGCACTCTCCTCTGCGAAGGTTCATGCCAAGATTTTGAATCAAACTGATGTGTTCACAGCTCTTTATGTTGTATACAGCCAGTTCCGATGTCAAGCCCAGCTACCCACATTGCTTTCATGGCAGCATCAGCAGTATCAGTCACCCCTTCAAATCCCAACATCACAAACTCCCGACGCTTTGGATCCCAAACCCGCCGCCCTGAAGCGCGCCAGATCCCAAGAAGCTTTAAATCCATGTAGATCCCAGACCACTAGCATATACCAAACCCCAATGCCGCTTACATCCTTCGCCTGAACACCAGAGCCCCCAAGAAGCCCATGCGAACAGTGCCGGAGAGCTCCAGTGTCAGTAAAAGGGAACCTTGAAGAGAAGGTCCCATGAACCCAACACCCACTCCCTACACCCTAAGCCCTGAAACCTAAATCCTGCAGTATCACCCCACAAACCCTAACTCCATGAATCTCAGCCCCCATTTCCTGCTGATGGCAAGGTTGCAGCTGGAATCTTGGCGGTCAGCTTTGGTTTCAGGCTTAGGCTTGGGGTTTCTCTTCCGGCGAAGCTAACATTGGATTATTGGATTTATGAACATGTATGTATGCATGTATGCATGTATGTATGCATGCATGCATGCATGCATGCATGCATGCATGTATGCATGTATGCATGTATGCATGATATGCATGTATGCATGTATGCATGTATGCATGTATGCATGTATGCATGCATGCATGCATGCATGCATGCATGCATGCATGCATGCATGCAAGCATGCAAGCGTGCATGCATGCATGTATGTATGTATACACACACAGATAGGACGGCTCTTCATGCCTTGCTAGGCGGGGTGGTTGATACGGGCTCGGGCTGCTGAGTGGTATCACATGACGGATTTGTTCATGGTCCTGATTATCGACGGCCCTTACCCAGCTTCATCCTAAGACCACTCTTCTGTTGGATGGGGGACCTACCCTTCCGGCCTGGTCTGGGTATGTTGTGTTAACGAAACAGGCGATCAAGCCCAGGCCACCAGTCTTTCGAGTTTATGTCGGGTTCGGGGTCAGTACCATCAGCGCCTGCGCACAGTGCCATAGAGCCGCTCTCAGCTATCTAAAATGTGCTGCTGTCTGCGAAGGAAAAATTTCAGAAGGACATGGAGAGGTTGCCCTTCCTGAAAGCCATCTTGAGTTGAGTCCTGGCGAAGCTTATGAAAGAGGTGGCAGCAAGCAGTGAGAATGAAGGTCTGTGTCCAAGACTGCATAAATTCAACAAGACTGCATGAAATTCGGGATGCTGCCCGTGGACTCTTTGCTGACAGTTGATCAAAGCCAAGGGCACAACGTGCAGACGGTGGACAGTATGCGAAACTTGGCGAGGTCCTCGTTTACAGTATGTACAGTTGCCACCAAGGACCCGTGCACGAGGATCATGAAGGGGAGGTTGCTGTGCAAAACTTCGAATTACAATTCGGCATGCATCGACAGGTGGCAGCATTGCTGCTGCTGCTGCTGCTGACAAGTCCTGCCGTGCTTTGTCCTGTGCTACGGCAGTGCACTACAGCAGTGTTCGCTGTCCTTGAACAGCGCGCAGGATGTTATCTTCTGCTGCGGCGTCGAGGCGTTGGCAGCATATTTACCCATCACTGGAGACGTCTCCTACATACAGGCCGGGGATGCACAAAGCCGGACGACAGGGATTTGACGTGGGATACTTTGTTTCGGAAATGGGTTTGTAATACTCATTGTTATATACTCTGAAGTGATATTGAAGATTAGGAAAGGTGATTTTGAAGAGAAGTGACGAACAGGACTGGCCGCGTAGTCCTCAGCCCACTTGCTGTGAGGATGGGAGGCCACCCTAAACCCTAAACCCAGCCCACCTGCTGTGAGGATGGGAGGCCAGCCGAACCGTGCCTTCATGTTTGGACGGCAGAGAACCTCAGGTTGCATCAAGCGGGCCTCAAGTTTGGGTTTAGGGTTTAGGGTTTATAAGGTTTAGGGTTTAGAATTTAGAGTTTAGGGTTTAGGTTTCCCTGGCCTTCAGGGTTTTTTTTTTCATCCTCGATCTGCACATGCTTTGGAAAGAGTGCTCAAGGTTCCGTAAGCCGTGAACATGAAGTTACAAACCCAGGAAGGCGCCTCAACCCCAAACCCTTTGCGCAGGCTCCCAAAAACACCCCCAAGCTGAAGCCGAAGTGCAGCACTGCAAATCTCCTGTTCCAGCGGAAGACGCAGCCCACATATTCACGACAAACCGATTCTGGTCTTTGGATACGGTTCACGCAGACCCCTGATCCGTACAAACCTTCCGGGAAGGTGACGGCATACCCTTTCAGAAATGGAGTCATCTGTCACTAGTCTGGCTTTGTATCCAAATCGCAGCTGCCTGGGTTCGCAAAGCTTTGGACATCTACCTGGTGTAGGCCTCAAAAGCCATGAACATCGACATCAAATCCCGACATTCGCCCTGAACCCTGAAGCCCTTGGAGCTGGGACAACAGCTTGCGGCAAATGCAGAAGGTGTGTGTGTGTGTGTGTGTGTGTGTTTGTTTTTAATATTGTGATGGGTGCTCGAAATACCAGCCTCGGTCAGGACTACCAAGGCTAGATTACTCTTCTTACTCTTCTTCACTTTTTGTTTCATGTGCTATTATGACGCTACAATAAGTACTGCTACTGCCGAGCCTACAATTGCCATTCCCTTGTACATCACTACATACATGTCTTCGTAGGATGTGCATTATTGGAACATGACCAGGGGCCATTCGCAGACAATTGGACGATTGGTGGTTTGAGGGATCCAGGCTTCCAGGGATTTGCGGGACTTTTCGCTGCATTGGATGCGAGTCCGATTTGTCCGCACGTTTGCACATGATGAGGATGTCCCTTTGGACGGAGTGGTATTTCCTGGGCGACCTCATCGCAACGGATGTGTCGCGGATTTTGATGCTGGACATGGAGAGCTTCTGCCGAACCATCGCCTCCAACCCGCTGATGCACGGCCTGGCGGCAGCATGCATGCAGCCAGGGAGTTCAGGGTCGGCTTAGTGTTGCTTTCCGGCATAGTTGACTTCCGGCCTAGTTCAAGTTGTGAAGTCCACTGCCAGTTCTGCGGGCATATACCCTAAACCCTAAACCCTAAACCCTAAACTACCTGTGTGCATTGGTACTCGCTGCGCCGCGGGAAGGCTAGATTCCAAGTCCGAGATCCCCAGGTGCAATATGCGAAGGAGTACACCAACAATCTGCGACGTGAGGCTGGCAAAGCAAGACACAGCCAAAGAACCATGATCAGTTGCTTCGTGAGAGCTTTCTTCGTCTTCAACTTTTTCACCTAAACCCTAAACCCTAAACCCTAAACCCTGAGTTGAAGGTTCCCCTCCTGGGGTCTCTGGTCTCTTCGAGTCGGAATCTTTCGTCGTAGTAGTCGGCTGTCGTTCCTTGCGTCGTGTTGTTGTGTGCCCCGGGGCCCGATGCCCTCCTAGTGGCGGGGATATTATAGTATAATTATAAAGAGGGTTTTTTAAATAAAAACCCTCTTTATAATATTCACATATCATAAGAAGGAACAAAGGGCCCTGACTTTCGGAATTTCCCGCTGCTTTCAAGCGCCAGGCAGACGGGACAGACATCTCGGACACCTGGCAGCTGGATGCACTGGGAAGCCGGATTTTATGGCTCAGGGCCCCTGGAGTTCCTAGACCCAACCTACCCTCTAATACAGCCTAAATACCCACTCTTAAGGGCCATAAGGGCTCTATTCAAGGACCCTTGAAGGGTCCCGGTTCGATCTTCGGATTCGGGAGTTTAGGATTTCGCGTTTGGGGTTTTGGGGGGCACCAGGTCCCTGGACGAGACCCTGGCTGCCAAACCGAGGCCCAAATCAAAGCCCCCAAATCCTGCACCTCTTGAAAACCCCTGTAAACTCCGTATATAACCCCAAACCCCTAAACCCCGACACTCTGAACCCTAACACCCCTTCAAACTCCCCCAGGCCCAAAGGCCCTGTAATGACAATGCAGCGGACCGAGGCAGTTTGAGGCCGAGGTCGAAGTTCACGACCTCATGTTCGGCAGGGGCTTCGCGCGCCTCGTCTCTGAGTTCAGGGCTTTTTTGGGTCCAATATAGGGGCCTTATAATAATTACCTATACTAGTTTGGGGGCTCCTTAAAACATATTATAGTTACGGTATAAGGTACCCCAAAACCCTAGTTATGAGGTTTAGGGTCTGGGTCCTTTGGCCGTCGTCTTGAGGGAGGGCTGAGGCTTTAGAGAGCTTGTCAGTTAAAGGCAGATGTTGGATCCAGCTTGAAGGGTGGATGTCGAAGCGCAGCAGGATTAAAAGGTCGGTGCATGGTTGAGGAGGGTAGGGTGTGGGACGCTGGGTTCAGAGAGGTGTTTGAGATCTTTACCTCTGCATCCCAAGTAATCACTCGTAACCACCATAATTCTAGAAGACCAACAGAAGCCTCGTAATTAGGTGATCTTCAGTGTGCGTTTCGGGTCCTTCTATAGAACTCTGGTTTCAGGGGGGCGTCATGCGCAGGTTCAGCCTTCGGGCAACCCTATACCCTAAACCCTAAACCCTATCATAAACTAATCCAGAACCCTAAACCCTATCATAAACTAATCCTGAACCCTAAACCCTAGCATAAACTAACCCTGAACCCTAAACCCTGTCATAAACTAACCCTAAACCCTTAACCCTAAACCCGATTCTAAACTAAGCCTAAACCCTAAACCCTCGCTTTTGTGGGTTTGGGGTTCCAGAGCCCTGGCCATGAGGTCAGGTCTTCGCAAGAGGTGGCGCCAGGGGTGATTATAGATATACATATATATATATATATAGAGGGTTTAGGGTTTAGGGTTTAGGGTTTAGGCAGTGGACGAGATGGGTTTAGGGTTCAGGGATGATACCCCAACCCCATGTTCGAAGTTGCTCGTGATCAACTTATGGCATGGCACTAGTTCTAGTAGTAATGCCACTCCTCTACCTGCGAAATCAAAGCCTTCGAAGTTCTTGAACGTGTAATTACAGTCCTTGGTTCAACCCTAAACCCTAAACCCTAAAACCCTAAACCCTAAACCCTAACCACAACCTGGCTTCGGGCTTACAGGCCGGAACTGGCTTTCAACACCTTCGGCAGACAACGCGTGAAAGGCCAGGGAATAGGGATGGCATGTGGCTTGGTTGGTTAGTTGGGGTTACATCCCTTGTAATATAGGGGCCTAAATAATTGCCAATACTACTGTGGGGGTTCCTGATTAGAGTTATAGTATCATATAATACATATAACCCAAAACCCTACTCTAACTATGGTCACACACGCGTGAGGCGCCATGTGACTTTCAAGGGTTGGAATTAGCTCATTGTTTGCACAAGAGCTTAAACTACTCTTGTTTATACACATGTCTGCGCATGCGGGCTTCTGTGCAGATGTACTTGGCAAATAATGGATGGAAGGCTTCAGTCTAATCAGCAACGAGTTTTAGGCAATACTTAGCATGATTATCTTACTTCCTATATGGCTTCTGGGCAAGTTTTCTGTACGAGTAGTAGGGAACGAGCTGTAGGCAATACTTAACATGATTATCTTACTTCCTACGGCTTCTGGGCAAGTTTTCTTTACGAGTAGTAGGGAACGAGCTGCAGGCAATACTTAACATGATTATCTTACTTCCTATGGCTTCCAGGCAAGTTCTCTTTACAAGTAGTAGGGAACGGGCTGTAAGCGATGCTTATGATGTTCATCTTACTTCCTATGGAGCAAGCAGGCCATAGTCTTTGGGCCAGAGTGTAAGCGAAAGTTGAGTGTGACAGGAGGCAAGCCCAAAGACGCCATTACGCCCCCCCACTCCCCCCCCACCCCGCACCCCGATCAGAAAAACGCAGCTATATTCATGAAAACGCAGCTATACCCAGCGGTGCCTGACATGCGTGTCCCCAACTATTAAGGCCCCTACAGTAACTTGCGGGTTTGGGGTCTCGGGCTTGGCCTTGGGCCACTCGCACCGCTTCCTGATATTTCGCGGAGGCGACTATAGGGGCCCTATAGTGATTATCTACAGTACTTTGGGTGGTTCCTTGTTATAATGATAGTGTAATGGGCCCTTAAACCGGATTCTAATTATTGAGGCCCCTACATTAGGCGCTGTGCTACAAGCTCGTCGCCAAAGCCCTAAACTGCATCTCTTGTTGTTGGTATCTTTCTTACGTCCGTGGCAAGCCGCCAGCAGACGAAGTGGTTCGCACCCAGCCACTGGCAGATTATTTCCATAGGCAGTGAAGCAGATGCTAAATGTTCCAAACCCCAAACCCGAAACCCCTAACCCCCTAAACCCCCGAAACTGAACTCTGCACCCCGAGCCCTAGAATGCCCTGAGCCTTTGTTGCAGGAAGACAGGGCTCCCAAAACGGTGTGTTGCAGGGCATGGCGAGGATGCAGGTGGGGGGTTCTCTGGTTTTTTTGGATTTTTTATAAGTGTTCACATGTCCACATGAACATTTAACATCTGCTTGTGCAGGGGCAGCCAGGGTATTTGCTCTCTTCCGGGTGTCGATTTGGCATTCGATTGTGGTTGTACGTCTGGGGTTATGTCTGCTTGTTGGCTTGAGGGGTCACGGCTCATCGCCTGAAAACTGTGGCTTGGGTCGCAACTTTGGTTCAAGGTTGAGAGTGAGTGAGCAGGTCTTGCTGCAGGTTTTGGTTTTTAAGTTCCCTTACCGCAGTAGCCTACAATCTGAGACTACCACCTGCATGTTCAGGTGGTGCCGGATCAGATCCTGGAGTGAGGCTCGGGATCTCAGATGCCCACACTCGGTGAGGAACTTGTCAAACGGCCAGACGTCTCGTGCCCGAAATATCTAAACCCCCTTGACCCCGACGGCCTGCAAGCCGGAATGGTAGCCATCACCGCCTATCTACGAGTTACAAAGGCTGTCTTGGGTGAATATAAGCATGAATGAGCCTAATCGTGCTGGTGATAAGAAGGTTAGCAGCATCGGTAAGCCTAACAAACAATAGAGTGGTGTAGCCATTACCCGCCAATTTTGCCGGTGGTGTTTGGCAATCCCCATGATCTCGATGAGTTTCGTACTGCCAGCCAAATGCTGTTTGTGTAGTACAAACCCATAGCAGAAATCTTGCAATGTTGGGAGTTCCAGTACAAGTGCAAGAATGACTGCGGCAAAGGTAATGCTGGCAGCATAAGTAGCCAGTAACGTACTCTTGGCAACATGAACTGTTGATGCTATCTGTCTCAGTAATCGTCAGACCAATCCGGATCACGAATAGCACTGTTATTATTATTATTATTATTTCTTTTGATATTAGGACATGTCACGTGTCCGTGTAGTCTTCGCAGTACTGGACACGTTAGTCCAGTCAGTCATACTCTTCGTATTGCCGCCGTTCATGAAATATACGCACCATCTTTCAACAATGATATGACCAGATTAACAGCATTCCGCACCTTCACCTCTTTAGCAATGGTCACAATGCCCGTTCATGACCACTGTTGATTGGTCACATTGGTCACAGCAGCACTGTTATTTCCAAAGCTACTCACGACATCCATCAAGTTCATGACATGTGCCATTTTTGATTCGTAGTAGTACAGTTGCAAGTCAAGGGGTAAGGCTCTGTCGATGAAAGATCCGCCTTGAAGCCTATGCGCCGGGTTAATCTTCCGAAGCTGGCACATCCCAAAACCAGCCCTAAACCCCAAACCCTAAACCCTAAACCCTAAACCCCCTAAACCCTAAACTCCCCAAACCGCAAATGTCCGAAGCCTTGTCTCGACCTGCTTCTGACAAGGTGCCAGCGCTGGCACCCGAATCGCACCGGTCCTCGGCCAAGCCTCTCGGAACACTGGATGTACATTGGGTTTTGTCTAGGGTGCAAGGAGCCATAGGAACCAATTACGCAGGATTGGAACGGTACCATGACGATGCTTCTCTTGCTTAGCGGCTTTGGATTCGAAGCTGAAAGGCCCAAGGGTCGAAAGGTAGCGGGTGATCAAGCGCCTGTCCATCGGACTTTTTGGGCACCACGAAACGCAAAGTGCACTATCCGAATGCCACTGATTTGCGTGTAGATCGTTAGTCTGTGCTTCTTGTTTGCGATTGCGGTAACTGAGCAGCACCGGTGTGGCGGCTATTGTTATATATCAGTTATTACTACCACAGTTCATCATATTTCGCTATTGCTATTGTAACAAAGTAGGAACTTTTTATCAGTTCCTGCGCCCAGCGATTTGCACCGACTCGGTCCATGATCCAAGCTTGCTTGCACTCAGGTAGCCGTGCGCCTGTGCCTATCCGAGTGGGAGGTGGCAAAGCCACGCTTGATAATCTGATATTCGTCTTGCTACGATGTTGTCTTAAAGTCTTGTGTGCCTGCCACTTGCTACTCCAAGTCAACACGCTGTACATGTTTCTAAAGGCCTTGGAATCAAATCCTATCAAGCCCACTGAGTCACTAAACCTCCCTTCAAGTCCTCAGTATCGAGTCTGGCACGCACATGCGTGGTGTTCCGGCGCCTCGAAAGCGGCGCCTGACAGCGCCTTTGACGGTCTGATGGGGACTCGAACGAGCCGAACCATCAACAAGCTGGAAGTTTTATTATGCATTTACTTGCAGGATCATGGGCAGAAAATGGTAGATCGCAGTAGCGTTGTATGCAATCTTAGCTTTTATGGGATCAAAGATACCGGTACTAAACGGTTCCATGACTTCTGAAGCACCCGTGAACCATCAAGCACCTTTGCAGGGGCTTAGCCGGCCTAAGCCCTTCATCTGATATCGTAGCTCTTTGTCTTCACCCTGTCGTCGACACCTGCGTGCTGGGCTCACGCGCACATCTTCATAGTTTCGGATAGTTTAGGCTTATCAGTGCGTAATTACTGTATACGTGCATGGACCATGTAAGGTTCTATACCACGAGTGGTTCTGCGTCGCATGCATGCAGGGTGCCTTCATCTTCTTGTCGGTTAACCGCGTACGGTTGTGCCACCAAACGAGTTGACCCGCTTGAACGGCCGAAGGCCGTAGATCTGTGGAGCAAATCAGGAGGACAAGTCGAACGCAACACTGTTAGAAGTTTAAAAGGATCGTTGACGATGCAGTCTGTCTGTGGGGACTGAGTCTGAGGCTCAGTCCTTTCAGACGGAATTCGTGCAGGCGCTCGAAAGCCGGTTGCAGCTTGGGAGTGTGATGAGGGTGTCGCGAGGTGGAGCTCTAGACGCTAGCCGCTCATGCCGAGTATGCAAAACAACAGCGGTTCTCCCAACCACCGATTTTGGGCAGTGCGCCATGGCATCGCCCTGCCAGACTTGGCAGGTTTTTGAAGTGTTCGAAGTCCGGTGCCGGGCAGGATGACCTTTTTGAAGCCTGGCCTGGAGGGCCGCACGATTTCTTTCAGGGTTTGGAGAGCCCCTCGATCGGCGCTCCAGAGAGGTAGGCCACAACCGGATCTGTGGCATGATCATGTACTGTTTAGGGCTTACCCATAGGCCCCATAATAGTTCCTTTTTGGGATTACCTCATAGGATCCTAAATATAAGCCACAACAAGGAACTAATACACGCCCGCTTTGACCCCTAGGAGTCGGTATAGCCATCATGTAGGCGGGTGTTGTGATCAGTTCATACAGTAACCTGCCTCAACCGCTCCCTTCGCTCGTGGTGCTATGCTTCCGTTGCTCGAGAAGCGCGCTGATTGGAAAACAGAAGGGTTTAGGGTTTAGGGTTTAGGGTTTAGGGATTCGTGGTCCTGGCGGTAGTAACACCCTCGAGTAGTTAGGTGTCAAGCGATTCCCAGAATATGGCATTCGACATCTCGCGCATGAACCATGTAGAATGTAGAATGAAGATCTCTTCATCAGCCATTCGCGCTTAGCATGGTTGGATGATGTGCCAATGTGTTCTTAGTGCCAGATGCAGCACCCCGCCGACCCAGAAGCTCGTGGCTTGCACGTGAACCTCCACAAAGTCCCCTCAGATCCCAGGGGCTTACAGAAGAACTCCCTAAACCCTAAACCCCTAAACCCCTAACCCCTAAACCCTAAACCCTAAACCCTAAACTTACCGATAAATTTCAATTCAATCTCCCTAACATGTCGTTGTCCATGTCGCTGACACGAGGTCCAGGTGACAAGCCGCAGCGAAATGCAGGCCCCACGATTCTTATCACTGGCCTCTGCTTGCGGGCTTCAATCTGGTGTCCAAGAGTCTTAGGCCTCCTCCTTGGGTCTGTCTTTGCGACCTTCGCCCAAGGTTTCTTGAAGAACCTTGCACTGCAGCTATCACAGCTCTGGCCTGCATCCGGGGATTGTTGCAGCTAGTGCCCGCACGGGCAGATCCAGCTTCCAGCCTGGGCCTTTATCCCAGAACCACAAATGAGTTTAGGGTTCAGGTCAGAGGAGATCACATCGAATCCCAAGCTCTCAGAGCCTTTCGCACCAGCACGGTTTTCAAGTCCCAAGGCCCCAACCCTCACCCCCAGCCCACCCTGATCAACAAACTAAGGATCTTAGCAGCAATGCATAGCTGAGACTTTTAGTCCCAAAACAAATTAGCAATACTATTTTGGGGCTCCTTATTGTAATTGTAGTATAATNNCCCAAAACCCTATTCTAATTATGACACTAGAAGGAGAAGACCTCAGGCTCTCGAGCTACAAAACTTTCTGGCCCTCGGGTTTTGCGGCCTTGAGATCCTTAAGCCCTAAGCGCCTAAACCCCACTGTTCGACCCCTGAAGCCCTGAACGCCTCACCCATTCTTCCAAAACGCTATTCTAATAATGAAGGCCGCTACATTAAACCCGAAACTTCGAAAAAATGCCCATGGCCAGGACCTCCTTCGGTCCGTGGTCGTGCGGGGTAAGTCCGCAGAGCTCGTCGCTCCCTCTTTGGGCCTGCCGGCCCGGCGCCTAGGTTTGGGGTTTGGGGTTTAGGG